GGGGAAGGGAAAAGAAGAAAATGAGTATCACAAAGAAGGAACATAAGGAAAAGAGGAAAGAAGGGAAATACAAACGAGATGATGGGAAGGAGCGAGAGGGGAAGGAAAAAGAGAAGGAAGGGAGAGAGAAAGGTTTTAAGAAGTAGAAGGTTAAGGAAATGAGAAGAAGAATGCAGAGAGAAAGATAACGTAAGGAGAGGAAGTAAAATCTTTAGACCCCCACCCCCTTCTTCTGTCTGCATAAAAAAGTGACCCTCCCCTTGAAACTGATTAAATTCTTATCCCTCCCCTTTTGACTGAGTAGAAATTTAATGGCCCTTCCTCCCCTGGATTCCTCGCCCCCTCCCCTCCCCTAAAAAATGAATGCGCCCTAAGAAGTAGAAGACGAAGGAATGAATGAAAGGAGGGATTACGAGGAGACAAAGTAAAGGAGTTGAAGGAGAGGAATGCAAAGGAAATATGATGGAGAACAAAAGGGGAAAAATAAGGAGAGAGAGGAGGATTTTTTTGGGGGGAGGGGGAAGGGGGAGAGAAGGTAAGGTGCAGCTCCACGTTTGTGGACCATAACCTACTTGAGCGATTTCTGTCTTTCTTTTTCAAAGTGTGTTTCAGGTGACTCGCATTCGAACGAAGCTAAAGATAAATCTGACAAAAGACAACAARCTGTTAGTCTGGTTAATACGGACCAAACTCACGTGACATAGTSTAGTGGACGTTCATCAAGGCGTTTCCATGACAATGGATGGGCTCGTGCCAATGTTTCCAGGTAACGGCGATAAACACAACACTGGGTTTATTGTCAACACTGGGTTTATCGTCATTGCAAGTCGTGGCAAAGTAAGGTATGCTGGACATTCATCAAGGCGTTTCCATGGAATCGCATTAGCACGTGCCAAAAATTGTCCTTGTTTGAGTTCTGTGCTTACCGTTGTCAGAGAACAATGGCGCTGTCATCAGGTAGTTCAATATATTTCCATTTCTTTCATACGAAATCTGAAACATTTGTCATAGTCATTTTGATGTACATGAAAAGCAAAAGAAAATAAAACAAACAAAGAAAAGGAAATGAACGAAACGAGGAGAGGAGAGGAGAGGAGAGAAGAGAAGAGAACAGAAGAGAACAGAAGAGAAGAGAAGAGAAGAGAACAGAAGAGACAGACAGACAGACAGACAGACAGACACACCTTTATTTAAAAACGATAGTTCCATAAGTATAAAACTTCTTTACATGGAAGTCGTTATTGATTAATAAAATATAAATATATAATCCTAAAAAGTTGAAAAATATTAGAAATGATTTAAATAACAAAGAG